TTGTTTGTGCTTTGAATTTTCTTTAGCGGTTATATTTGTTTTACGGGGTAGGGTTGCTAGCCCTATGCCCAACCTTCCCTCTTTACCCGGGCTTAGGACCGGCTAGTAACTAGTAAACTAATTAACCAGGCGAGGTTGAACAGATTATAGCCCCCTGGAAAAATTCGGATCACTTAGCATCCAAAAGATTTATCTGCTTTCAACAAAAGGGGATAAGAGGTCATTTTGAATAGCCGTAGCCACCGACTGAAAGCAGACGCCAAAACTCTGCGTCAGCCCTTGGCGAAAAGGAAAACAACTTGGGATCCTTGCACTTCCAGAGGATTCAGAGTGAATCACCCCTCGAGATCGGAAGCTGATAGAAGAATTAGCGTGTCCTTTCACAATAATAAAATATCCCAAGACAACATAAGAGTACTAAGGAAGTGGATACTCTCCCACACTCTACGGTATGGGAATCACAGATACATTACAAATCACACCATGTCGCTCTTGAAAAGCCATCAGAACTTCGTGCAGAAAAGCATTCATCTGCTCTGAAACAATGTCTGAACGCTGCATATGACCAGTTGTGATCTGCTTCAGCATTCCTTAAGCGAAGAGGAGGCTTTCTGCCTTCAACTTTCCGGTAGTTTGCGTCAACTGAATGGCGCACCACAACTTCTAGGTCTCTGCCAATTTCAAATTTTTGGATCTCGTCGAATAACATCGGGTACCTGATGACCAGTGCAACAATCTCTAACCTCCTCCATGCCAGCCGTGCCACTTCTGTTGACAAGGACAGCAGGGGCTGATGGAGGAAAGCAATGCCAGCACATGGCACAGGTAAAGTGGTGATGAACTAAGATAATGGAGAAATGCTCAAAGCAAGATGCCAGGTCTGGTGGTGGTGACTTATGGAAACCACCCTTATCTGAGGTCGTTAGACTCAATATAAGCCCTTCTCTCGGGATTATGGTAACTATCTTCCCCGAACCATATGAGAGTATATCTGAGCTCCCACTGGCACACAAATGCAAAACAAAGTCACCGTCTACAAGCATTTGTAATACAGCTTAAACTAGGATGCAAGAAATGTACTACATAAGACCTCAAGGGTATTCTACAGGTGAAATATAAAACTACATAGCCCTTTACTCCCTGTGTCCTCTTAAGATACTCTAGTCCTCAATATTACTCCCCAAATTCAAAGACAACTAACTTCACTTCCCACGCCTCTATTTTTCTCTTTATCTCCCGATGCACAGATCATGATGGCAGATCATATCAACGCACTGGGCACCGAGGTGCACTTCGAGCTTCTATTCAACACGTGAGAACTATCATCTTTTACCGCCCATAGATGCGAAATCACCAGGAGCTAGACAATTCGTCCCAGACTACAACCTCTCCTGAGTACATAGCTGCAATTGGGAGAGCAAATAGAAATGTTGGTAGAAAATGCCATTTGCATCCGAGCATTCAAGTTCTTTCGGTCCTGACAACCACTCGCCTGAAAACGGAGCTAAGCGACAGTGACTCCATATGATGCGCCGACCTAGAAGTCTCGGTGAATGGTTCGATGGTGAAACCTCTTATATTCTCCACCATGATATGACAACAGCAGCTGAATAGAATTACGTGCCTGACTTTACATATTCAAATGACTCTGCTGACAACATTGTAGGCCAAAACAATTGCTACACTCCGCGTGACACAGCTCAATATCAAACCCAAATTTGTGTCCTCCATCTATCCCAGTTTCACTTGCCATCCATATAGTACAAACTTATTGAATACAGACGCCTCCGGATTCGTCTGTTCTCAACATTCGATGTGCAATATACTCTTATAGATTCCCCGACTTACTATATCTTCCCATACTGAGTGATTATACCCTCATTTACTTTCATCAGTGTTGTTTAACGATATCGCTCCTATCCAATAGTTGTGACAAGTAGTATCCAGACAACCGTTTGCTCCGGAAGACCATGTATGGCACGATGATTCGTTTCTTTCTAAACTTTTGCAGCTTCAATAAGAAGATAACATTTGGATATTGCCTGTAAAAATGGCATGTGTCCGTGTAATTCATTGCTCGAAATATATTATTGTTGTTATTATCTTGGCTAACTACCCGAAAAGCGCCCCAAACTATCTGCAAGACGCCTTCATGGACTACGTGGTCATGCGCTTAGTGCATAGAGAACCAGTTGCCTTCACCCCGATGCCCTTCATAAGCTCAAGAAGACCTACATTTGATCCAGCCCTGAAGTTTGCAACGTCACTAAACCACCACACCGGAAAACCGGTGCGAACACCTCCCGAAAAAGTGGAGAGACGAACCATAGAAGGTATTGTGGGGGTGTGTCGAAGATCTCACGGGGACAGTCTAAATTGGCTGGGCCTTGACAAAACCAGTCAACATGCAATGCATGGCGGCTTAGTGACAGTTCACAAGACTTTGGTCAGTCGAAACCATTTGAGAGTAGTGGTATTTCCCTATGGTCATCATGGTGACCCTCCCCAAAACTTAACCAGGATGGCTCGTCAAAGAACAAATTCTACCTGTTGTAACACCTGTATTCGCGTGGTTGGCCCCTAGAGGGCACTATTTGATGAAGTTCGCAGCGCTCAACCTCTATAAGACTTCAAGAAAAGGTTGAACGGCTACAAGATGGATCGCTCTCATCCAGTTGGGGTGCGGAGTGGGCTGAGGCAAGAAACGAACATCCCATCAGTTCAACATTTTATTTTGCTCCATGCTAATTGTTTTTCGTTGTCACCTATATTATCGACACGGATCAGTCATCTATCTCTCCGTAACAACCCACTTCTCCTCTCTCCCCCTTGGGCGCCTTACGTTTCCAGTTATCTCATCGCCGTTGACATCACTACTATTCCTATTTTCACCCCTCCTACGACAATTTGCCTGCTTATTTCCCAATTTTGGACTTCCTGTTGACTGACTATTCATGTAAATCACCCCCCACCATGTCCCTCCTTACCCTTTCTCTGAATCCGTCATTTCCTACTGACTCTCTGGTCGCTTTCTTTTCGCGTGGTATTTTTCTTGACCATTTGCTTTCTTTGATTAACCTGTGAACCCTAGTGCCATTTCAGTGCGAGTCAGGATAACTGTCTCGCAACCCAATATCAGAAAATGCTTTCAGCGCCTCGGTCCTCGAACAAACCAGCCACTCACTTCGGAGTGGCAACCTTAGGGTCTTTTGGCTGATGAATACTAGCTTTCCCATAGTAGTGGCCTGCCTCCGCTGCTGTTCACGGTTGTCTAGGTTCTGACGTCATCTGTGAACGTAAAACTAGATAGCCCTGCCTCTGTCAGTAGCTCGACGACTGAGCAGGAGAAGGTTGGCTACGCCACTTGTTTCCATTGGAGCGGCATTCCAGTACTGATGGTCCTCTACTTTCAGTCTCTGAAAATTTCCTCGTACCGGTCTCTCAACCACCGGTGGATTCTGAAGCTTCCCAGCGTTGTTGGAAGCCCTGCATTAGGAGCGTTGCTGAGAAGATTACTGAAATCATTGTGATCATATTGTCCGTCAACCAGAAACTGATTTATTTCAACGGGTTTTCGAAGTACTCGGCGATGGTCTTTTCTCTTGACTTGACGATTGTGCTGGTCGAACTAATGGGGCGATAGTTCGCGATGAGATGCAGGCCGGACTGATAATAGCATCCTCCTGATCCACTGATGATTTCAACCAGTTCGATGGAACGGTAGGTGGTATGTACAATTGTCTGCCTATGGTTGGAGCTCATACGAACCACTAGACGTACCATGGATTGGATCCTGACACAGTCGACAAATTTATTATCAACGTCATTGGTGCCATTCTTGGGTTAAGCTCAGGAGGAGCTATAGGGCATTCACCACCGTAACCTCAGAACGCTTGGTTAAACCGATGTAACACAACTTCGGCTTTAAATGAGCTATCTTCCTCTTCTTCTCTTCAGCCTCCATCGGTACGTACTGTTGGCATGACTTCGACCATGCAGGTTCTTCTCTTGAAGACAGCTGAACTTGCCTCACGACATCGGAAAGAACCTTTGACGAGTTTTTTCGTGTGATCTCCTTGACATTGCGATCAGGGCTTCGTTAGAGTTCTAAGAGCCATAATATTTGATTCTGAGCCGCTCTGAACCGGTAGACTTTAGCGGGTTCTATGACCTTTCCCGAGGTGCTAAGGTGCCTCTTAACCCGTTTGCACTTCCGCTGGGGAAAATTCGCTGATACGCAAGGTACGACCTTGGAGACAACTCAGGTGTAGCCGCTAGTAGCTCCTATTGGGCTTGAATCACTCACCATTAATAGAAGAGCCAGTACAAACTCAGTAGTCCAGAAAGTTAGCTTATACCCTGATAGACGAAATATTCACACACCTTCACACTAAACTGAACGTGGATATAGACCACTTGACTAACTCTGAACCTGAAGGACAGAACCGAGCGGTCACTACTTGGAGGGGAGGGAAGATAAAATTATTTTTCGCAAGAGTCATCTATGAAAGCTGGGTAGGGAAGGGAACAGTCCTGGATGGAAGCAAAACGCGTATCCCTAAAGGGGTCCTACATGAATGCATTCTGCAAGACGGTCATGTGTGGCATGCTGTCAAACCTACTGCTGGATCCTCGTGAATTTAATTAAACCCAATCTACTCAGGGTGCACTGCTGTCCCACAAGATAATACAAATGATGCATATATTTCAACCCTCAAGGTGTCCTAAAATACAGTAATCCACCTGACAGTTTTAAGCGCGGTAAGGCGCACAGGTGACAAATCTAAAGCCTTGGAGACTGACGTTGACACTGATGACACCACAAGTTCAAATATACGCAGTGGAATACCAAAAGTGTGTCCAGAAACCGCAGAAAAAGTAGCTACGACAGAGAGAATTGCATAGGGATAAATACAAATAATCAGTAAACTTCGATCGGTTTCCCCTGTATCTAGTGTGGTGTCTCACATCAACAGCTTTTTATATCCTCTGATCATTAACGATTCATGACCTTGAGATTGTAGACGCATTCAAAAGTGACACATGTCTTCGTGAGCTCGAGGTAAGTTTATATTCCTTGTGAATTCAAGCTGTGCTGGATATCTGTGCGATCTTATGACAGTGGCATGTAGGAGAAATTGAATTTGACCTGACCTACACAGGTTAGTCAGATTGTAATAGACACACTGCAATAGTTCATAAAATATAAAGTGAACCCACCACTTAGTAGACAAAGGAACTCCTATTTGGTTTACAAGCAAGATACAAAATAGAGACGAAGGTGAAGCAAAGACATTGAGTCACATTTAATGTGTTGCTTAGAAATGCAATATGAATCCATATACCCATCTTGCGGAAATTAACTTTATTAGCTCCTTCGATGATCATATTCAAAGAGAAATAGACCTAAATAAAGATCATTATTGTACAGGTAGACAAGGGCTGATAGTCTGCTGTCCCTGTTACTGAAAGCTGTGGATCTGCTGAGATGTATGATCTTCACGGTAAACACTCCTATAAGACTCAGTCTCTCCTTGTTTACTTTCTTTTGCACATATAAGTGAGTGTAGACAGTTTCTGTGGGTGAATAAAACCCCTTGGAAAGATGATTTACACTTCATGCTGTTTTACCTGTGCATAGAGTTGCTTGACGATGCGTTTCGTCTCACTTGAGTGTGATAACTGAAAAATGCCCTTCTTGTTGTCAATTATTATCGTTATCATGAGGGCTTTTATAAACAACACCGTAACCTAAAACGGAAATGACCAGTTTCTCTTGACTCGTGAAATCCGTTTAAGGAGTCGCGAGTGATATTTCGGTTAGCGTCATTAAATCGTTGAACTGACAAGTACGGGTATTAGGAAGAAAATAACTTGGTTGCTGGACAGATGAACTGAAAGATGATAAGAAAATGAGATGCGTGGACTAACTGGATAGTAGATCATTGCAGAGGAATGCAGCGTAACGTAACAGTGTTCTAACTAGCATAGATGACTGGCCATATACCTGTAGCTAAAGAAGTTCGTTGCAATTATGAGCATCAGCATATGTGCTGAATATCGTCAAACTACAGTCCACTGGTTTCATGGATTTGTTTGTCACTACAGGATATTACCATCGGTACTAGTACGTAGCACGGCATCATTTCAGCATTCCAATATTTCGCACTACATCTTCCGTATTCTAGGAGTTATTGCTTGAGAGCTCATGTTATGTGGCACCGAGGTTGACTTTAAGAAGTTTTGATTGTCTGAAACAACTGTTCCACAACTTTGTGACAAGATCGGTTGTGAGGTAAGCAACTTAAGTGAGTTGTGACTATTCTGATAAAACTACTGCCTATCGGGGTCTGATGGACATAAGTTAAGACAATGGATTCATTGAAAGCTCTGTCTCACTGAAGTAGATCTACTAAGAAGATTCGAATTTCGTTTCATCGAAATTAGACAGGCAAGTGGGGGAAAGATAGCGATAGGTTATCTCACTGACGCTTGTGAGTCCTCTCTTCATTCCACTCCACAATACATTTTTTCAATTTGAGCTATACTCGCCAACATGTTTTCTCTAAAGACCATATTGTTGCGAAACTCTAACGTACTTACGAGATCGCTTTGTTACAGCTAGAAATCCACGCCCATCTATGGAGAAAGTACAGTAATTCACAAAATGTACCACATTGGCATGCTAAACCTTGTTTCAGGATGACTGGAAACCATCTTTCCGCTTTGCAGCATTGTCTTTGTTTTGTTGGTTTTCGTACTATTGTGTGCTGTTAAGTTTGTAATTGATGAACCTACACTTAGATGGTGAAGTGAGAATGAGTAATATAGAGTATTGTAAATTGGCAGTCACCAACCTTAGTTTGTGGGTTTTTAATACAATGTCTTTCAAATCTGGAAGCGCTCTTAGACGTTAATACCTTATAGTGGCGTTTATATTATCTGGCTCTCAACTTTGGAGTTTTGTTCAATGCTTCTGTGCTACATTACTCACGGAATTTCTGGAAAAATTTTATTACCGATTTTTGTCTGAACCTTGTCCGGAAGTATCCAATTTTTGTTTCAATTTTGTCTGTTTGTGTCCAATCGCATTCAGAGCTATTTGAACTATTTTATTATTTGGATCGTTATATTCTTGTATTGACGTTCTGCTTACACTCTACTCGTTTGTTTATGTGAGGCTGACATTTTATCTCTCGGACATTCATGGTAATGGGAATAGTGCAGGAGCACATCTGTTTTGTTGTGCCGAATGTTGTTTTGTTGAATCACTTCATGTCGAATGATTTGATATTTAGGTATCATTGAGTGCTACATTCTATTTTTAGATGTATAAAACAGGAGACAACCTAAAACTTTTGAAATCACCTTGTGGGGTAGTCAGAGGGTCTTCTTTTGCATCCCGTTTTTTTATAACCCCTTGAGCTATTGTCAAGCGCAATTTGTTCTGACTGTATTTTTTTATACACACGTTCCATCTTGCTGTTTTTTGGATTTACTTTCCAATCAAGACTTTTTGTTAGGCTTAACTTACTTAAGTGTCTTGCTGCCTTCGGAACTTTATGCTTGTTTTACCCTGAAGTTTTACAGGTTTCCATACTTGCTTTGCCTAAATAAAGCAAGCTTAATGCTAGCTATTTAAATCCGCAAAATTTTACACTTTTTCCCAGAAATATTAGCACACTTGTTCAAAAAGAATCATGAAGTGTATATGAATGAGACTTTTACCATTCTGTAACGCATTCCCACCTACTTTTCAACAGATATTCGACTGGGAATCTTCCAAACTGCAGAGGCAGTAGTAATTAAAACCAAATAACCCCAGATTTGTCTTCAAAACAAACAAGCGTTACCTTTAAAATTATTATGGCTGGATCGGAGAAGTACAATTAGTTAGCATCCTGCCTCACATAATCTAAATCCATACTTTAGACACCCCTTATTCCCTATAATCTTTTAACCTATTTTCTCCTTCTTAGTTTATTTCTTCCAGTCGACTGTTTTATTAAATTGTAACTTGTGGTATCACGTAAGTGGCTTAATCACTTGGATAGTTATTTATTTTAGAATTGAATCCTTGTGACAGTCAATTCCATCAATAAGGTTCACATACAACTTTTCTCAATTGACTTCCTCAACAGTATAATAACATTAGTAGCTGATAAACGGAGTCTTTATATTACTGACACAGGATTCCTCAGCGTCTATACATAACTGTAGAACGTGAAAGAGTTATAGAAATCAATATTTTTTGTTTACTCAAATAGCTTTTGGAATATTGATTCATTTAGTTCCTATTTGTTTGGTTATTGGTAGAACCCGTTTTCCATACAAATGGGTTTCTTGCAATCCTCAAGACATTCTTTACTCCTCTGATTACCTTTTCAGCTAAGTTTGGATGTCGTAAGGGTGGCTACTTTGTCTTAAACGAAACTTCAACTGCTGCATGATTTCTATTTGTATTTTCAATCATTATATATTTCATATCTTATTCATGAAAGAGAACCTGTACTGAGCAGTTAACATCGAATATTTTAAAGCAGTAACTTAAGATTGTAGGAACTTCTGTTTGCTTCCCATCTCCATGATCTAAAACTTAAAAAGAAAATGCCTGAGTTACTTTTGTGTAAAGGTTTCCACTGAAAAGAGAATAGGTGTCTCTATCCATTTTTAAGGGTGATAATCTTAGTTGTATTGTGTTATCCGAGCTGGATTGTTTATTCTTGAAGCTTTCATCATCTTTCTAGACAGTGACATCATCAGCAATAACTTCAGTATGAAGTGAGCTGTCAGTATCTATCCTTAAGTGGTTTAGTAGATTGCCCTGACGAAGTGGTCTGTGATTGATAGTTGCCTTCGATTGTTGTGTCATTGACTGTATAGACTTTCTTGCTGGCTGTCCCTGTGCTTGACCTCTGACTTTTCTGTTGTCTATCAATTTTCTCATTGTTTAACAGATTGGGTTTATATCTAGAGATATATTGATTTCTGACGGACTGACCTGCATGCCAAGGTTCTAGGAATTTTCTGGAATCTCATATGTTTCCTCTATTCAAGATTTCTACATTGTCAAAATTAAGTTCGTGTCCATAATTATCTACTTGCTTTGAAATGAAGGATGTGAAATCTAGTGACGGGAAATAACCCCTATTTATTTCTCAGTGTTGATACTTATCTCTATTATATAGACTCAATGGTTTTAGTAGCTTGAATGATTGCTTTTCTAAACAAGTTCTATCTCAACGTATAACTATTTTAGTCCTCAATTAAAATCTACTTGTACCGTGATAATTTTCACCGGGACATGATTTATTTGATCTACGTTATGTTTTGTTTAAAAGCAGTTAACTGATCAAGATAATCAGTACAATAAAGGATTTTGTTGGTTGTCTTTTCCCAAACAACTGTTCAAAATTACAAATAACTGAAGTACTCATAAACGTTTATCAGAATAGAATATATTACCTATCTTGTTTAGTGGTAAGAAGATGAATTTTTTCTCATTACATAATATTCTGATGATTTTTTTCGGGGTCTACAAGAAAAACTTTGTACAAAGTTATACAGTGAATATGTAGATCAGAAGTTCCAAGATATATATCAGTACGCCATACTAATATGTATTATAATGAAAATAGTTATAAAACTTTAGCACTACAATAAGGGATATTTCTATCTTAGTGTGTTAGTTAGCATTATTTACTGATTTTACTACTTACTTATAGTGTGTAAGCTAACAGTCATACATTTAATATCTGAAGATTAGGCGTTCACTTATGAGCAGATAGAGTGAAGGCTAACCTATTACAACATACTATTAATTATCATCAATGTAATGCGCCTTGAAATATTCCTTTATATCATATGTACTCAGAAATATTTGTCTTCTAAGAAATTTTTGTACATGAGATGTAAAAAATGAAAGAAGATGAGCGAGTTGAAACTAGTTCTCTGTTCTTTAATAGCTTCATTTGTTCTTCCTTCTGTATTTTTGTGTGCTCAATTTAATGTCTGCATAAGTGTTGTTGTTTTAGCAAACTATTCACGTAATGATATTGTTAT